ACTCTGATTGCCATCTCAAACATACCCCCTTCAGCCTTCCTGGTTTTTTTTTCTTTAGGTTGTCATTCAGGTCTCACTGCTCCTGAGGAAACTTTTTCAGAGATTTCTGTTTGTATTTAAAAACTTTTGAGAGAGAGAGAGAGAGAGAGAGAGAGAGAGAGAGAGAAAGAGAGAGAAAGAAAGAGAGAGAAGGAGGTGTGGGAATGGCAGGGACAGGTCGTGTGGAAGAGAGCCGGTTTGGTGGGAGCAGGGTTCAGACTGTTCCAGCTGCAGCCACAGGGGCAGCCAGGCCTGGTAGATGAATTACCAGTTTTTGTCACCACTGCTGTTTGTTTTTGTCATATTTTACTTGAACTTTTCTCGAGCCATTTAAAGTTCCTGTCATATCTGACTCTTTAAACATTGACATGCTTGGATCATAAGACTGTTTTTAAACTCATTGCGTGAACGATTTTGTGTTTGAGTGTGTAGGGTTGCTTCCTGTGTGAGGCCAGGACGAGGGGCACGCTGCTTCTCAGCGTGGGCATACTCACACCCACTTGTAGTCTGATTCTTGTCACACGAGCGCAAACAGTAGAGCCTGTCTTGGAGGGACACTGTGCAACAGATCTTTCCACGTTGCTCTTCCTCACTAGCCAGTGCCCTTGAAACCTTGGAAATCCAGCCCACATCATCTCTGCATCTGTCCTAAAAGTGGTCTTCTCAGGTCTCTGCAGGTTTTTCCCTAAATCCTGAGCAGATCAGGTTGTTCCCTTTCTGGAAAACTCAGAGTTGGCACACTGCTGCTTGCAGAGTAGAACAGAACAGAACAGAATGTGCATTCCCTGGCGCAGGATGTAAAGTTCCCGAAGGATCCCTGACCCGTCTCTCCATCTGCTTCCTCCCTGTGATTCTTCTGCACAGGTGCAGCCCAGCGCCTGAGACTGTGGCTGTGTGTCATCGCCTTTGTGTTGTGGTGACTCCCCTGTTCATTATTTTTTTGTGTGTCATTGTGCAGGTTTCGTTCTTCCGAGGACAGTGGTCACTAGATTAGCACCCAGCCGCATTCAGTGTGACCTCATCTTAGCCTGGCTGCCCCTATAAAGGTGATATTTCTAGACAGCCTGGGTTTTTTAGGGTAGGCATCCAGACTTGATCATAGCAGTTCCCCAACATGAAAGGAGTTATTAGGTACTGAAGACATATACAATAAAAAGGTTAAAATAAAAAGAATTAAGACTTCGGGATTTAGCTCAGTGGTTCCACCGCCTGCCTTGTAGGTACAAGATCTAGAGTTCGATCCCCAGTACCAAAAAAACAAAACAAAACCAAAAACTTGATCATACCTTTTGGGTTGGTACCATTCAAACCATAACATATAGTTATGTGTATTTTAAAGGAAATTCTGTTTTTGTACTTCAGATCACTTGAGCTATTATGTACCACCCTTCAGGGGAGTAATTCAGACTTTGGTTACTTGCTCTCTGCTCCTGATGAGTAGTTATAGGAATAAGGCCTAGTTTCATACCTCATACTTAACACCCAACAGGGTTCATACACTTGGTGTAAAATCTTAGAGTAACAAAAGGCAGACCATGCTGTGTCCTTGTGTCTGAAGTCATGTGGTAGACAGAGTGCTTCGGGCCCCCAACGCCTACCAGGTGCGGTATTCTCCCGTTGCTCTCAGGAGAAGCAGAGACATGGGGAGTTCTGTGCGGAACACATCTGTCTAAAATGCTGCGCTGTTTTACGGCAAAGACCTGCCTTATTTCTCACACCCCTTGGGCCACGCAGTTGCCTGCAGTTGCTAGGAGGAGAGCTGTCCACAGCTGGAGCTGGAAGCTTGGTCTGTGCTGCATTTGTCAGGTATAACCTGAGTGCAGGGAGGACTCACCGGTTTGTGACTGGGCAGTGCAAGCCGGGTGTAACGAGTGCGGGAGGGAAGAGAACTTGTGGCGAGCGCAGAATTTCTCTAGAGCAACCAGCGGGCCTTCCTCAGGACTAAACTGTGGCAGGATGGAGTCTGTCTCTCCGAGGTGCTCCTACCATCACCTTCGCCTGTCTCCGTTTCCGGCTGCCATGGTTGCAGCTTCTTCTTCGGCAGGTGCGTTGATCAGGCTTCAGACTAGAGATAATATTCACATGGGAGAAAAGAGTTTTCTTCTCTTACAAAACACTGTTTAGATGTTTCAGTCAAAGAAATGGAATAATCTGACAGACATAATTTTTCTTGTTATCTTTTATATCTTTTTATTTGGAAAAAAATGGAACATTTAATAATGTTATGATCATTATTAAGTTTGAACCCATATAGGCTGTTTTCAGTTTTATATTTGACTCAGTAGTATTTCTTATGAGGGTTGAACATCTTGCTTTATAAAGTATAATGCTATTTTGGCAAAATATAATTACTGGAGCAAAATAAATCAAATAAGAAAATAGAAAGCAGTGACGTATAGCTGCTTGCCAGTGGCCTGTGGATGTGGGAACATCCACCTGCATTCTTTTTTTGTTTGTTTGTTTCACTGCATTTTGAAACTGGGATTGAACTGAGGGCCCATGCTTGCTGGACAAGCGCTCACCAGAGCAGCAACCCAGCCCATGCAGTGTATGTTTTCTTCTTTCTGTTTCTGAGGGAGTGGTGCTGGGGACTGGGGGTTGAACCTAGGACCTTCACACTGAGCTGTATTCCCAACCTTTAAACATTTTTTAAAAATTTTGAGACAGGATTTTGCTTAGTGGCCCAAGTTGATTGATCTCCAACTTGTAATCCTCCTGCGTCAGCCTCCCGAGTGCTGGGATTACAGACCTATGTGCCACCACACCTGGCCCACACTGTGTTTTAATGCATATTTTCAGAGAGTGTTTAATGGCCTAATATAACTTTACATTTAGGAGCATGCGTCTCAGTCACCAGATGCCTTTGTTTGGACCACACTTGCTCTGGGAATAGTGCTTACGCAAGAGCAACTGGTTTTGGGTGCCAGCTGGAAACTCTCATGCCACTGCTCACCCCTGCTCCTCTCTGCACTGACTTCATTTCAGGCAGCCTAGTGATGGCAGAAATAACTGTGGGCACCCAGGGCTGCCGCTGGTGGCCCAGGTCTCACTGGCAGTGCCTGGAATGGAGGCTGGGTCTGGCCAGACAGTGGGAGTTTGGCGTCCAGAATGAGCTCGCCTTGCCAGTGTCAGACAAGGGAACACAGGAGTTTCAACGAAGGTACAACCAGAACTTTATATTTTTTGCTGCTGGGATTTGAGAGAACAAATCTGCTACCCTAAAAGATTGTGTTTTATTGTCTGAAAAAGGAAAGGACCAAAAATACAGAATTCACGATTGGGTACCAGGTGCTGTATCAATTTCCTTTAAAACTGTGGCATTCACGGTGCTCTGTGGTGAAGACCACTCTTGTGGGGCCCTGGGCGTTCACGGATTTGATGCAAGTCAGCATTGCTGGACTCATTGCGCTGATGCAGAAATCGGAGGGCTGAGCTGTCCAGCCTCAGCTGCACAGTCTCCTAGCTCACGCCTGCTTCGATGTCTGGTGCATCCAGCTGTGCATCCGTTACCGTCCCCTCTGGATCCTCTGCTCCTTTAGGCAGGCAGTCCGAGCCGCGCCCCTCCTCAGCTCTGCCTCCCGAGGGGGCCTCTGTGCTGCCTCACACATGCTGGCCTTCCTTTTGAGGCACCCGAACTCTTATTCATTCTCTTCCGCCTTCCTGCTTCCCCATTGTCCTTATAGCAGCAGGACTGAACTTTCCAACAGCGTGGACCCGATCTTATCAGCCACCTGTTTTCCTTGGCTTGGAGCATGTCCTGCCTCTGCCTCCTTCCTGCTCCCCTCCCAACACTCAGCTGGCTTTTGTTGTGTTTTCCCTCCCTGGTGCTGCACTTACACCTCCCACATCCCTTGTCTTCCAGTGCATCCTTCACTCTCTCTCCTTGTGCTTCTTGGGATCTGTGTTTAAATGTCACGGAGTCCTCAGGGCCTTTCCTGCCTATCTCCCCATCCTTCAGTGTGGAAATTGGAGATTCTTTCATGGCCTTCCTTTGCCTTTTCCCCTCCAGCAGTTGGTAGCTGTGCATTTACATGTGACATTATTATTCTCCGGGCCTCACCTTGTCTGTGGAGTGTTGGCTCATTGCTGTCCCAAGCCTCCCTGCTCCCCACGGGGCGGCAGTGTGTTAACCGGGCAGGCGGTGCATTCTGAATGCCTGCTTTTTCAGTAGTTCTTTCACTCTGATACCATTTATTACTCAAGAATAAACTTTGTGTTTTCTTCAGAGCAGCTTTATTCCTAGCTTCTCATTTGCTGAAGAATAAGTTACGCTTCTTTTATTTAAAAACATTTAAAAAAACTTTTTTGGTTTTTTGAGACAGGGTCTCACTGTGCAGTTCAGGCTGGCCTTGAACTCACAGTGATTCTCCTGCCTCAGCCTTCAAAGTGCTGGGATTATAAGCGTGTGCCACCATGTGCTCCCGACTTTTATGGTTTCTTTTATTACTAACTGTAATTGTCAGCAGCAGTTCAGATGGTGTCCAGTGATGCACTTGGTTTTCAGACCTTCTGTATCAGGGCTAGATATTACCCAGGAAAATAATACATTTTGGGATATTGAACTCCTCTCAGTTTGGCCTGAGTGTGGGTGGTGGAGAGAGGGAGCAGTGGGCTCCACTGAGTTGTTCCAGAAGGCCCTGCTCAGTGACACGGAAGCCCAGATAGTCCTTTGAGTCTGAGGTACCAGAGTCCAAACCAGCCGCTCTGCATGTCCTTAGGGCTTGGGCCGCTGTTGCTGCCCACACTGGCTTTGGAAGGAGAAGCATGAAGGAGTCTCCCGGCCATGACCATGAGAACTGGTGGCATAGGTGTGAGCCCTTGGCCCCTGGGGCCCAAGGGGTCGCTGCTGTGCATGCTGTGCCTTCTTCCGGGCACAGGCGTGTTGGCCAGAGAGCTTGGTCCCCATGGTCACAGCACGCGTTGCAGATGGCCTCACATCTCTCCCCCTCTCCAACCTGCAGCTGGTCATGCTCGGAGCTCGACCTGAGTGAGATCCGCCTGATAGTTTACCAGGACTGCGAGAGGAGGGGCAGACAAGTCTTGTTTGATTCCAAAGCCGTTCAGAAGATCGAAGCCGTGGCAGCTCAGGTATGTCGTGCTGATTTGCTTTCAGTTTTTTCATTTGTCCTTTTAACCACCTCTTGGATAAGTCACTTACTAATCTGCTACAGTCTTTTCCTTGAGCTATAGTCGTGTGCCATTTATGGTTCAGGAAGAAGTGAGCATATCCCTGACCCCACAGGCCCTGTGCACCACTGATAACCGGGTGGAGCTGCTGGTGGGCAACCGGGGCAGGAGCTAGCAGTGGGCTCTGAATATTGCTCGAGGGAGGGTACTGGTAAGTTGAGAACTAGTAGGATTTGATGCCAAATATGTGCATCCAATGTAGTAAGAAAATAGTTCTAAAATTCATAAAGCAATTAAAGTGTTTGTCTGAAGGGAAGTTGAATATTATTCTGTCCAGGGTTTCTCGTGCATATTGAAAGGCATCAGTAGCATCATGTTAGAGAAGATCGGCATTTGTCCCCCGGGAGCTTGACATGTGGCAGAAGCTGCTGTGTCCAGGAGGTCTTTGCAGCGCCCTCTGACTGAGGAGGCTTCTGCCCTTGGCACTTGTGGAGGATGGTGGTGGGGAGAGAGGGACTGGGAGTGTGTGGAGTGGAGACCTTTGAGCCAGGGAGGGAGGCAAAGTAACATGCCCAAGACGGGAGAGAGGAGTCTGGTCCTCATGAGTCTCTTGGAAAGTGCTTGTCACTGTCTCCCAGGGTCCGTGCAGATGCCCCACGATACAGATACCTGTTTGTACTCACTGTGTTCCTGTTCGGTACCTTGTTACCCCCCAGGGCAGGAGGCATCCTCCTCTTGGTCAGGACCATTTCTGCAGGGAGGAAGGGTGTGGGTGAAGGTGCATTACCTGGGCGGGTGCCACAGTCCTGCTCTGTGGCCTTTGGCCAGGGAGCTAACCATTGCAGTAGTGTGTGCTTGCTGGGTAGGTGGAGGAGCAGAGAGTTTGCGATTGAAAGCGTGGGCCAGCCAGCACTCAGCCTTTGTTTGGTGGACAGGAAGTGGCCGCCCCTTAATTTCCCTGAGTGCCTCACACAGACAGTGTAGTCGAGCACCCACATCCCACCCTTGGGGCTGCTGATGGTAATGGGCAGAATACCCTCAGTGTGTTTTTGCTTGTTTTTATTTTGGTTTGGTTTTGGCTTTTGAAGACAGGGTCTCACTGTGAGCTTCAGGCTGGCCTCCAATTTACAGCAGTCCTCCTGCCTCAGCCTCCAATACTGGGAATGCAGCCATGAGCCAGCACGCCCGGCACCTACAGGGTTTTTGAAAGGAGCTGGAATTGTTAATATACCAGAGCAGTAATACCTCGAATCTGGAACACGGAGCTATCTTAGAAGCAGTCCTTTAATCAGAAAGGCCAGGCTCAGGGATGTGTGCGCCTGCCACCTGCAGAGGAGCCAGGCGGTGCTTATCACCGTGCTGCTCTTGTGTCCAGTTAGAGGCTGGGCTGTGAAGCAGGGGGACTTGTGTCCTCGAGGCCCTCTGAGTGACTGTGCCTCTGCCCAAGTGGGATTAAGTGAAGCCGAGTGTAGAGAGGGTGTGGAGGGACTGCTGTCTGCTCAGGATTAGCCTCGCGCGGCTGCTGAGTGACTCCAGTGGGCTGCACACGGTGTGTTCCCGATATCCTTCCCATTCTCAGCCCCCACCACTCAGGCAGGCACAGGACTTAGCCCACGGTGTGTGTGACCCTCCCCTCATGCTCAGCTGGAGATAAGATAAGCTGCAGTTGGTTTTCCAAGCAAAAGCTATACCAGGAAAAATTGGGCGGGGCAAGGAAGTAGCCTCACAGAAGCTGCAGGGTGCAGCTGTGGGAGTGAAAATTCTGGTGGAGGACAGTGGGGGTGATATCTTTATACTTTCGTGGTACTGTGATAAAGATTAGCAATGAGAGTCTTCACAGAATGTGTGGTGCCTGATCCTTTATTACCTCAAACCTTTAATGTAGCCCGCGTTTCCATCACATGCCTTGTAATTCACAGTAGCTCCTGTTTCTGGATTGGGCTTCACCCTTTCACAGTTTCAGCCTCATGATTTTCCCTCCTGGTACAGTTAAAGGAGAGCTAGAAGAGGCATATCGGTAAAGCACAGGCTCTGCTTATTCAGAGTAACAGCTTTGTTTTCTGAGTCCAGTTGCTTGGTAAATACTTAAATTTGAGTTAACACTTAAACACTTAAATCTTTCTCCCACTCAGTTTCATAGATTATGACTATACATAGTATGAAAAGTCTTCTAATAGCCAAACACATCGATTCTCATTGATGAGTATACAGCGTAAATTTAAGTATAAATGCTGTAAGAAATCATTTGAGGAAAAAGAAATCTTAATATGTAACCTACTTTTTTGTTGGATACCCTTCTGCAGCATTCTGCCTTTCCAAATATTGTAGACACTCAGGAACTATGTGTTAGTCACCACTATAAGGGGAAATTACAAAAGCTTCTGGTTTTTAACGCGGTGCACGTATCAGAGCGAATGGCGCAGGGTCTGGGTATGAAGTGGGCTGAGGCAAATGCACTCTTGGTAACCTTTTCCTTGCCGCCTCCCTCAACCCAGAAAGCAGGGGACGGTCCCGGCAGAATGTCAGCCAGGAGCTGCCAAGCAAGCAGCAGCGTCTCTTCTTGTAGCTCTTCTGGAGGTTCTTCACACCTGGAGAAGGAGAAGGAGCACCTTCCAAAGTACCAGGTGAGGCCCCGGGTGCAGGGGAGGTGCTGGACCGCACCCCACAGGGTCCCCGGGAAGATGGTCCTGAGTGTTTCAGGCCAGTGCTGCTTTGCACCTTGGCTTTTATCTCTCCGTGAAACTGTAGTCAGGCAGAGGTGGCACAACAATATGCCCCTGGATGAGGAAGGAACATTGCAGACAAAGGAAATTATGTTGCATTTTCTCTCCTTTGTCAGATCCAGAATGGTAAGCATGTGTTTTCCAGTTTTACTGTAAGAACTAAAGATTCTGCAGATGTATATGGACAGCCTGAGAAATGAGAACTCAGAAGAAAGGGGTATTTTTACACCCGGGGTCATGGGGGGGCAGTGGAAGATGGGGATTAGGGTTATTAAGAAATATTGATCGACCAGATACAGGGAAGAAGCAATTTATAAATATTGAATAGCAAAGGGGTATTAATTGATGGGAACCGAAAGTCAACATTTTTTTACCCATGTAAATCTTGTTTGCAGTGTTGCTGGAAAAGCGTAGCCAGGGTAATTACCAGCAGCCACAGGTCCACCAGGCTTTGTCACTTTCACAGTCAGGATTGGCCAGTGCGTTTTCCATTATGGCACAGTGCTTCTGGGTCTCAAAGCAGCCTGGAGTTTAAGAAGTGGAATTTTCAGGTAGTTGAGAGTCATAGTTGGCATATGGCCCTTGTACCTCAAGAAAAAGCAGATTATAAAATGGAAAGGTGGTTGGAAGATATTAGTAAAAAATGTGAAAGGCCAGTTGGTTTCTGTGTGCACAAGTGGATGTGAGTTGCATCCACAGAGGAACCTAAGTTCTGCCACCAGGACTGGCAGGTATCTTCTCTGTCCTCCTCAGTGCCCTGTAAAAGTAGGTGCGAATGTGTGCAGGACGGGCTTACGGGAGTCTTCTGGGGTGGAGAGCACACAGCAGAGTGTCTGGGGGTGGGGCTCGTGGTGTTGGTTAACCCCTGAGGCAGAGATGTGGGGTGCTCCTTTGTGAAGGACAGCCAACGCAGCAGAGCCTCCAGGGGCCCGGCTCGGCTGGAGTGATCTGGAAAGAAGAGACCTGGAAGGAGAGTTCGCAGCAGCCCCAGATGCAGCCAGGCAAGCTGGAGTGTCACCCGTCTCCAGGGAGATGAGGTTGCCAGGGGTGCACAGGAAGGGCAGCTCGGTGGCAGCCACTCAGGCTGCCTGGCCGGATCTCAGACGGGGTGGCCTGCAGTCTGTACTCAGTCCCTCAGTAAGCAAGTCAAAAGGATGACAAGGTTGAGGGACTGGGAAAGAAGTGAGAAGAGTCAAATATTTTTGTCAAATTCTAGAGTGGTTAGATCACCTGTGTCTTTTGGACCCACACAAAGCCCTGACTGCATCAGTTGGCATTTTTACCAACACTGTTAATGATGTAGTTATTGAATAACCCTGAGCTGGGTTCCTTTTCAGGCTGTGTTCTCTGTACCAAGAGGAGTCACTGTTTTCCTTTCAGAATTTAACCTTTTAAAGGTTACAAATAGATATAATAATATTAAAAATGAACTGACAAAATACTTGGGTCCTGTGTGAACATAATGTGTATGTTATTTTGTAGGAAAAAACATTAGGCAGTCACCATCATAGATCATGCTTTAAGAAATAATTGTAGTGGGCCAGGGATGTAGCTCAGTGGTACTGCCACATGCCTTGTAAGCGCAAGGTCCCAAGTTTGATCCCCAGTACAAAAAACAAAAAAACAAACAAACAAACAAAATTGTAGCCAGATGTGATGGCACATGCCTATAATCCCAGGAGGCTGAGGTAGGAGGATTGCCATGAGTTTGAAGCCAGCCTGAGCTACAAAGTGAGCTCAAGGCAAGCCTGAATTACACAGGGGACTCTGTCTCAAAGCAGAAAATAATAATACTTGGGCCAGGGATTTAGCTCAGTGGTTCTGCCACCTGCCCCACAAGTGCAAGGTCCTGAATTTGATCCCCAGTACCAAGAAAAAAAAAAAAAGATAATAATTATTACTGACTACTAAATTAAAAAAGGACCCAGAGAGTAATAAATACTTCTTTCCATTGCACTGTTCTTGGCATGCTGTCTGGCGTGCAGTACACGAGGCCGGCTTCTGATGTCAGCATGCTTGGGGAAATGATGTTCGGCTCGGTTGCCATGAGCTACAAAGGCTCCACCCTTAAGATCCACCACATCCGGTGAGTGTGGGGTCTTTCCTCCTGGTTGTGGGAACCAGCCTTGGTGCCGCTGTCTCCAGGATGAAATCACATTTGCCCTCCTTTTCCAGGTCTCCTCCACAGCTGATGATCAGCAAAGTCTTCTCTGCTAGAATGGGTAGCTTCTGTGGAAGCACAAATAAGTGAGTGTGGGAGTTTGCACCCGCTTTCTACCTTTTCTGTGTGTCTGTTTCCTTTAGGGTCATAAGACATTCTGAGATGAGAAGCAGGGGGATTCCAGTTAACAAAGGGACTCTAAAAGCAGCATTGTCTAATGATGAGACTGGTCTTGAACATAAGTGGCTGCCTTTGTCTCCAGTCTCCACCCGGCACCCCTGCATTCCTGCTGTCAGTCACCAAGTTTTATTTCTCTGCAGAATAAAAGGGGAAATGGTGGGGTTTGATGAATGAATGGCTTTTGAGATCCCTAACAGTTTATCTTTATAGCACCTTGCATATTCATTTCTGAAGGGTTGAGGGTGTGTCGGGATTTTGCAGGCTGATCGCACCCTGTGGCCGGAAGGCTGCCCTGGGTCATGACAGGCACCCTTGCCAGCCTGTGAACCTTCACTTCTGGGGTCCCCTCTTCTCGAACTGCTGTGTGGACACAGGGTTCTGTAACGTCTGCTTTAAACTCCCACTTGTCGCATTTATTTTTATACATTTTGAATTTTCAGGTAGAAATATTTCCTATATTTGTAAAAGCAAATAACAAAGCATTTGTTAACCCTCAAAAAAATTAAAAGTAAGACTTACTATATATTAAGGGGCATTCATAGAGATCAGATGAAGACTTTTTTTCCTCAGGTAATACCAGGAAACTAAAATAGTCTATCTCTGTATATTTGGGCACCACTGAATAAGCGTCTTTTTTTTTGGTACCGGGGACGGTACTCGGGACCTTGCGCTTGCTAGTCAGATGTAGTGCCACTGAGCTAAATCCCCAGCCCTGAATAAGTCATTATTTACCCTTCTACAAAATACTTTAAGCACTTAACATACAGGAAGTAATGTTTATATCTCATGTGATTCTGCTTTCAGACCCTTAGGAGTAACTGAATGTTTATCATGCTAATCCGTTATAATAAAATACTGAACTCAGGGCTGAGGATTTAACTCAATGGCACTGTGCAAGGTCCTGAGTTCAATCCCTGGTACCAAAAGAAAGGAACAAAAAACCAAAACAGGGCCGGGGATTTAGCTCAGTGGTTCGGTGGCCTGTCTTGCAAGTGCAAGGACCTGAGTTCAATCCCCGGTACAAAAACAAAAAACAAAAAAACTGAGCTGAAATTTAAGTAAAAATTATTTTTGTTTCCTTATGTGATATACCCTCTAACTCTTGATGTTTACTCTTGTGTTTAATGTTTTATGAGTTAATTCTAACTCTTGAAGTTTTGAAGTCAAACTTGTATGGGAATCTTAATTTCTGATATATCTTTCCCCTGGAAAAAAAGTTGCTGAATTATTCATAGATGTTAATTAAAAGTTAAAATCAATTTTGAGGGTTTATGTAAAACATTTGAAATGAATAGCAACATCTTGGGTGTCAGTTGCTTAAGCAAAATTTAGAAATGAATAGCAGTATTCTAGGTGTCAGTCACTGAAGCAAAATTTAGAGTTTGGTGTCCCTTTATAGAATATGGAATTATGAGGAGTGTGCTTCTTTACTTGTAAGAACTGGGTTGTTTCCAGAAAGTTTTTATTTTTCCCCCAGCCAATTCCCCTGAAGTTGCTGGTTCGGTTCCATTTGGTAGACGTAGACTTGAGACTTTATTTATTTATTAAAGAAAAGGCATTGAGTGACTGTCAGTTGCCTGTATTTGGTCATCTAATAGAAAATAGTGTTATTGGCATCTTGATGTTTTTCTTCTTCTCTCCTTCCCCTCCTCCCTCTGGATGTAGCTTGCAAGACAGCTTTGAGTACATCAACCAAGATCCTCATGGGGGAAAACTGAACACAAACCAGAATAGTTTGGGTGCTTGTCGCACTGGAAGTAACCTAGGTAAAATCAGACACATGAACAGATTTTCTCTAAATACTACTATTGTGGATGTGTTTTTTTTTTTTTTTAAAGTTTGTGCTTTTTACAAAGTCTGTTGTATGGTGTTGTTTTGGTTTGCCTTGACATTCCCTTTAATCTGTTTATTTTTGTGTGTGTGTCCCGTGTCTGCTCCATGTGTCTGTCTCCAGGTCTGCTGCAGGCCTGTAGCAGCAAACTGCTGCAGGGGGTGGCTGAAGGAGGACCTCTCCGGCTCACCCGCAGCGCTTCTTTCTTTGCAGGTTTGTGTGGAATGCTGAGTGCGTGTGACCCACACACATGAATAAATCCCTGGCAGGTTCTTAGGAAAAAACGCTATCTGTGCCTCTCTAGAGACCCAAGGGGCTCTTGTGATAAGAGATATTAGTTTCAAAATGCAGCCAAATTCATGGAGTTTTGAAAATTCCACCCATGCACCTCTACTGTAAATGCCTCTGCTAACACCTCAGTGTAAGCTGATTTGATCTGAAATGAGCCCTTTGCATTTCTAAGAGGATTATTTTTTCTGATTTTCCTGGCCTCTTAGAATTGTTTCCCTTTGCCGTGGTGTTTGTTATCCATTTATTCACTTGCATCCTTATCTGCATGGAAATTTAAGTCATTCTAATAAAAGCATGGACGATAACACCTCTCTCTCTCTCTCTCTGACGTACACACATTCATTTCAGCAGTTTAAATGCAGTTTTTGGGATCTTTACAGGTCTAGTCATCTTGGTGTTCTGGGTGTGTATTCTAAGATGAAATTGGCCTTGCTCCTAAGTCTTTTCAGTATCTGTTATGGTCTTGGAATGATTAACAAGTGTGGGACTCTTCATTACTAACATTTAAGATTGAGAAAAAGGCAAATGGTATTTCTCATTTTGTTCTTTGTAGCCCGAAATATGCTAAGCACCCTAGTTAACTGATTGCCTAGTGGAACTGACACCCTCCCACCTGCTTAGAGTGAGGATAACATGTTTGTATACTCTCTTAAAATTGTGAAAAGAAGCATGCTTCAGAAAAGAGCTGGTGGGTAGTGATCGGGGCAGGGCCCTGGCCACTGTAAAACCTCCTGGAGTGACTTGTTGCTTCCCTTCCCGCTCAGGTCAGTCTGAAGCATTCCCAGAAAAGTGTCTTCCCAAGTTCTGCCAGCACACGAGCTTTGCTAAGTGACTACAGTAACACTGTGATGGGTGCATATGGAAAAGTGGAGGAAGGAATATTAGAAAGCGAACATGTATTTTCTATCTGCCAAGAGTGGGTTATTAACAGAGAAACATTTTTTGAATTTATAAATGGTTTTCAAGTATTTCTGTTCTCTGTTTCCCATGTGACTTCTGAAACTATCAAGCATTTAAAAATATAGTACTATTCGGATACTTCTAATAATGAAGAAATTGCCTAAAAGTATCCACCCGAGAATGTTCATTCATTATGTTAACTGAAGCACAGTTTATAGTACAGATTTATCTTAGGAACTGAACACCGTTCAGAAAAGTTTATATGCTCCAGTAGAATAGAGGGGAGTGTCACTTGGCTCTGTTTTCTTTTTTCTGTCTTTTACATAGTTTTGCTTTCTCATTAATGTCGATTATATAAAGAAGGCCAGTCATCAATAGCCTACTTTGAAATGTAAGACGCTTTGCCATCTCTGGAGAGCCTGATAACCTACCATCCTTGTGCCTTCTTTGCAGCACACAGCACCCCAGTGGACATGCCAAGCCGAGGACAGAATGAAGACAGGGACAGTGGCATCGCTCGATCAGGTACTCCCTTTTACCGGTTTAACCGAGAGTGAGCTGTACAAGCACATGGCATTTCATTTGTGGTTATAATGCATTCAGTTTTTCTAATCTTTTCTGTGAACTTCGGCCAAGACCCTTGGTCAGAAATGTAGCTCCTGTTGATTAGACATGCATTATTTTCACTTCTAGCTCCTTTGTACAAGAGGGAAGGTAAGAGGCAGTTTGTTGTAATGTGCTAAATGAACCATCTTTATTTTGTTTCTGTTTAACACCCCATGCTCAGGCAGTTCTTGCATTGCCTGTGAGTACTTTCAGCTGAGCCCTTTGAGTTCTGTTGTAGTCTATGGCGTGCGTGGAGAGGGCAGTGTCCTAGGACTCTGCCCCTGGCCTCGCGGAGCCTTTGTGATTTTTGTTGCATTCTGGAGCAGGCTGCAGGTCTTATGATGGCCCCAAGGGTTCCAGGGCAAGCATGACCCGGGGTGGGGACGACTTTGTCAGTTGCTGCCCGGTGGCTGCCACAGTTGGCCTGTGTGGTGAGAGGTCTTTACCCCTCTGAGGGACAGAGGTTGCGATGTTCTTCTGGAGCCTGTCCCCAACACTCATTTCACGGTTTCCGTCCTGTGTAACATTGCTTTACTTTTTTATCCCCCTCCTTGTTCTAGAAAAGTTTTAGAGAATTTGAGGGAATTAATACCCACAGCAACATTTGTGGGACAGGGTATGAATTTTCCTAAGTAACTTCAGTGGTATAAATAGTCCCTATTGGACAAGTCAAAATCTCACTCAATATTTGGGTTCTGATTCTTAAAACTGCTTTTCCTTGCCCTTTGAGAGGCAGGAAAGCTGCAGGACAAGTTCACATTAAAGTGAGAAGTGTCTGGTGCTGGATCTGAATGATTTCTTCTGGAAGCCCTTAAGGAGGCCTTGGGGCTGACCTGGTGAGGGTTCTGAGATGGCTTTCTTGGGTGGGCTCTGCTTCTGGCCTCCCGGTTCTCTATTGGGATGAGGGGCAGCTGTGCTGGAGTGGAGCTGAGCAGCTTCCTGCCCCCACGCTGTCCTGCAGATGTGCTGACCCGGCACCGCCTGCCACACCTGGGGCTCCGGCACCCTGGGTCCATGGAAAGGCCAGTGGGGGCTTTGGAGCTCGGCAGGGTGCGCGGGAGCTCTGCCCTCATGGGAGTTGCTTCTCTAAGGTTTCTTCTCAGTACGTCCTATGAATTGTGGTGGGACCCAGGTCCCAGATCTGTACAGAGTAGGAGCTGTGAATGGTAGAGTGAGTTAGCAGGAGAACTACATGAAAAGGAATTGGAGGTGTTATTTTATTTGTGGTTTGCTTGGTCTCACCGCGTGGCTCATTCTGGTCTCACCCTCACGGTAGCCAGACTGGCTTCGAAATCGTGGCCCTCCTTCCTCAGCTTCCCAGGTGCTGGGGTTACAGGTGTGCCCCACTGTCCCCCCGCCTGATAATCTTTAACTTCTGTCTAAAGAGTTGAGGGACAGGGAAACGTAAAATAGATGTATGTTTTAGATTTACAGAGATTTAAATTTACAGAGAAATTGGGAAGGTAGTAGAATTCCCCTGAGCCCCTCTCCAGGATGCCGTGTAGTGACGTCTTGACTTTACACGCTCTGACAGTACTGGCCCAATCCTGTCCTGGTACATTTGCGGCCACCATAGCTCATCGTTCGTCTTGCCTAATGCCCCTTTCCATTCCACAACCACACACTTCTGGTTTCCTTGTCCCCTTGGGCTGCTTTAGCTGTGTTGCTTCCTCACACTCACTTCATCTTTGATAAGAGTGACGGTATTGAGGCATGCTTTTTGGTGTTTGTAGAACGCCCCACTGTTAGAACAGGCCTGGAACCTTGCTCCTAACTGGACCGAGGTTAGGGTTTGTGTGGCAGGGTCACAGGAGTGAGTGCACCCCAACACCTGGTGGTTGTGACCTTGCTGGTGGCTGCCTGCCTGCCCCGGGCATCTGCCGGAGGGCTTCCTCTGCGGCGCTGCCGGGTCCCCATCTGTACGCCCTTTCTTTCGGAGAGGAGGTCCTGCTGGTACTGCCCCAGGGAGGGAAGAGGAGCCCTGTGCAGGAGGCTTCTCCTCCCTGCCTGTTGATTTGTCACTGTCCTTGGGGACTCCGTGGACCCAGGGATAGTTACTTTCCCCTGGGCTTTAGCCCAACACTGTGTCCCTGTGCCTGCGGGTGGCTCTGGCGCATAGCCACGTCCTTTCTCACGCCGGGTGAGTGTGACTTTGCTGTGCGGCACCAGTGAGGGCCCGCACCCTTGCGTCGTCTTGGTGCCTTGCTGCTGCGTCCTGGCTTGCGGCCCTGCACCGCCCGTAGGACTCTTCCCGAGGGGCAGAGGTGGGCCCAGTGTGAGGCACTCGTCCTTGTGGTATTCTCCTCTGAAGACTTTAAATGTTTCCTGGGTCTGTATAAGCCAGAATAAACTGTTGAGAGGTGCTTTTGGTGGCTGTTGGAAGCTTGTCTGCAAGGTCTCGGGAGGGAAGAGGGACGGCCCGTGGTGAGGACAGGACCTGCGGGACACAAGCAGGGGTGACGGAGTGAGTCAGTGTGGGGAGCAAGGGGCCAGCAGGGAGACACATAGCAAGACACTTTTTTGGCTTTTTTTTTTAGCGGAACGTGTGCACAAATTCTCTAGGTATGAGTAATCTGCTGTACTTAGAAGTAGGAAGCTGGGTCAGAAGAGAAGGTCAGAGCACAAGCCGGTGCTGGGAGCCCAGAGCACATGGGTGACTGTTCGGAGGGCCGTTTCGAGGCTCCGTGTGCCTCCTCCTCAGTGTTCAGACCCCTGGTGAGAGGGGTGAGCTCCCCATTCCCTCCGTGCCTGTTTCTTTTGTCCCTAATGCCGTTGTTGGCGTGGCAGAGACTGCCAGCATGCACTTTTAAACACCGTTGTGGACGTGTTTTGCAGCGAGCCTTCAGGGTCTGAGTGGCCAACACGCCGTATGGGCACCTGCAGGTGTGCGACCCCATGCCGGTGTGGGTGCTGGGCCAGGTCAGTGGTGCACGCGCCATTACTCACAGGGTGGGTGTTTCGGGGATGGTGAAGCCCGGCCGGGGTGTGGTTTTCGCTTCCCACTGGCCTGGGGGACGCGGCTGGCAGGGCCAGGTGTGTCCCTTGTCAGCAGGGCTGAGTAGAGCAGCTGCAGGCTGCTGTGTCTGCTCAGTTTGTGGGAGGAGGAGCAGGAAGCCAGTGGAGCCTTCTCACAGAGGAGCCGAAGCAGACCCAGCAGTGTGGCTCAACCCGCGTGGGCTGGCGAGAGCTCTTCTGTGCTAATGTTTAGATGATCCATTTCAGTTTTAGGTTAGTGCGTGCTGAAAGGTATGGGTCTAGTTTCAATTTTCGGCATGAGGAAAGCTAGTTTTTCCAGCACCATTTATTAAAGAGGCTGTCTTTCTTCCAGGGAAGGTGTTTGGCTCCTTTGTCAATCTTGAGGGGGCCGAGTGTGTCTGGCGTTGTGTCTGCATCCTCTGGTCTGTTCCATTGATCCTCAGGTCTGCTCTATTGCCAGCACCGTGCTGTCTTTATCTCCGTAGCTTTGTAGTATAATTTCAGGTCAGGAATGTGGCCAGTGCTCAGACAGATGGGGCCTGGTCTCGTGGAGTTTATTGTCAGTATAGGAAAGACATAACTGAATGGTAAAATGTAGGCATGCATTTTCACTGATGGAAGCCAAACTTGTGTTGCTCGTGGAAAGAAAGCCCCTTTGAGAAGGTGGATGTGTCAGCCGAAACAGGGACCGCATCCGTGAAGGGGTGGCAGAGAGCATTTGGGCAGGAGGTTGGCTAGTGCCAAGCCTGGGGGAGGCAGCGGGCTTTGCTGGTGGCTGTGGGAGGAATAGAAGGGTTCTTGTGTGGAGACTAGAAGGAAAGTGCGATGTAGCGAGGGAGGTGGATGCGGGGTGAACATGGAGAGGAAGTGAAAGGCCTGACCCCACGAGTTTGTTCTCTTTGGATGGAGTGTTGCCAAACACACGCCCTCAGTGGTTGCAGAGGTCAGAAGAGTGGGTGTCTACGCCATCCTTACGTGTGTGTGGAGACCCTGAGCCTCTGCGCTTGCCCATTTCTCCCTGGAGTCCTGAGGGTGGCTCTTGCCTGCTGTTATGATCACATTTCCTGGCAGAATAAATAAGCCACCCTCAGAATTTTCCCCCCTGAAGGAACTGTAATTGCTTCTGAGCTCTTGACTTTTGTACTTGTGTTCCCAGCAGAAAGGTGGTTCTTGTGGCTGGCCGCAGTCTGTGTTCTCTTGTTCTTTCCTTGGGGCTTTTGTTCGTTGCTTTCCCCTTGGCGTGTAAGCCCCGTGAGGGCACAGGCCCACTCAGTGCGGCTGACTGTTCTGCCCCCGGCACCTTACACAATGCCTGGTGTACAGCAGCTGCTCAGCGGGAGTTGCACTGGAGGGGATGTGTTCGTTCATGCATCTGTGTAAGGAGGGATACAGAGGATGGCCAGCTCCCAGGTAGACTGTCTAGGAGGCTTGCCCGCTAGCTCTTGTTGGCACGGAAGTCTCAGTTGAGGTGATCTGTTTGCATAACGGTGTTCTCTGACCGCTGATCACAGAATTTACCTGTCATCTCTGTTACCTAAAGAAAATCATAGTAATTTTGTTTTGGCAGGAGCTGCGGTCTACACTTGTTTATTCCATGAGTATGAGGTCATTTAAGCAAAATAAATATTTACAGCAGAAAAGTACCTGTAGAGCCAGAAGTTGTTCTTTCACAGACAGGATGACTATTGCGTGTTAGGAAATAGAGTTCAGGAGACAGGATGTGATGTGGAGGGAATAGCTAATTTGCATAAATTTTGCCTCAAACTGTAGAGTGAAGAAGTAGTCAAGAGGCAGAAATACATAAGTACGCTTCATAGTGGGCCATTACTCCTCAAGCTAAAATATAAAGGTAGGGCCGGGGATGTAGCTCAGTGACACTGTGCCTGCCTCGCAAGTGCAAGGTCCTGAATTAGATCCCTGGTACAAAAAATAAAATAAAATAAAATAAAAGAACTAATTAAATAAAGCACAAGGAAGAATTAAAAAAACAATATAAAGGTATGGAACATGTTATCAGAATCTGTACTCTGAGCAGTAATTTATTCTGTATTTGTAATGTGGCATCTGGCAATTTTGCACTTGCCATAGCTGTGATCCTTATTTACTAATGTTTTCCTTTTAAAGGGTGTTTTCTTTGCTGTACAGGTATGTTTGTAAGACAGAAACTATAGTCTGCCCCTGCTGGATATGACTGATAGAGCCTGAAAATTTAGGTTATTTGGTGTATATGTTTCCACTTTTCATCTGTTAAAATACAGTGTGCCATACCCATTTTTGATTTACAGTTTAATGGTGGCTCATTCCCCTCAAGTTTCCAATTTCCTCCCTCAGCCTCACTGAGCAGCCTTCTGATCACACCCGTGCCATCGCCGGGCTCCTCCACGTCCTCTTCCAGCAGTTACCAGCGCCGCTGGTTGCGGAGTCAGATGACGAGTCTGGAAAATGGCGTCATCCCCAGGCGGTGAGTCGCGGGCTTCCTCTTGCAGAGGACAGTGCTGTGGAATGCGCCCACAGAGGCTGTGTGAGGAGAGCAAATTACAGCTTAGAAAACATTCTGGTTTAGAGGACCCCGGGAAACAGTGGGTGGCTGTGCCATGTTTGAACTGCACTCGGGAGTTAAGTTTGTTAAGCGGTGTTCTCTCTACATGGGGTGTCTTCCAAGTGTAGTTCTTGTAAGTAAGAAAAGGGTGGGGTAGATTTCTTCCCTTGGCTGCCTGACATTGATATGGTATTTGAAAATATATGCCATGTTCTCTATTCATATTTTTCCCTTTTTTTTCTGGTGCTGGGGATCAAACTCAGGATGCTGTGCTTACAAGGCAGGTGTGGTGCCACTGACCTAAATCCCGGGGCCTCTTCATATTTTGACATTTTTTCTTGTAAAACTTCTTAAGTGACAGGAGTATGATTTAAGTAGCAATGCCACCAAGCATTTAGACTTTCCTTTCAGTTGATTTTGAATCTGAAGTTTAGTTGTATCCAAAGTGCACATTTGATGCCATACCAGTGGCTTCTAAGCTCTTCTCATAACCCAGAAAAACGTTAAAAGAAGTTTTGTGTGTAACTATCAGTTTGCCTGAGAACTGAGTGATTTAGTGTACTGACTCGTGGTCACCATGAAGGACCTGTGAGAGGGGTAGTTCAGCCGCTCACCTGCTCCAGAGTGTTCATGGGCCAGCGGGGAGGATGGCGTGGCAGGAAAGGGGTGGACAGGTGCTGTGCGGTGAAGCTGCCGGGAGGCAGGGGCGCCATGGACTCCTTGGACGGAGGAAACATGTGGTGGCCGCGGTGGAAGAGGCGGCAGTGAGAGACCAGGTTAGGCCAGAGGCTGGCGCCTCCGTCTGGGTCTGGGGGTGCAGGTCACGCCACGGCGTCACTGAGAGCTGCTCTTTGGTCGCAGCCTCTGAGGGGACTGACTTAGAGCTGGGTTCAAGGCCGGCGCCTGGCTCCGCCACACCCTGGAGTGTGCTGGAACAAGCCCGCCTGGATTCCAAGCGTTGCTTCCTCATCTGTTCCAGCAGTGTTACTTTCAGCCTAGTGTTGCTGGGAGGATTAAACGAGACCCATCAGGTCAGGTGGTTAGCCAGGTCACGGGCCTCAGTGAGTAAAATACTGGCCACTACCTCTCATTTATGTTCTTACTGCTACCGTTGTTGCTGCCATCGTGCGGCAGCCAGAGGCTGGCACCGCCACCGTCCGCACAGTGATATGACAGCTTCTGGAAAAGATGGGCCTAAAAACTTCCCCCTTGGACAGCTCTTCACTGAAAATGCACTTTCATCCCTTCAGATTTACAGCTCATGTTGAATCTAGTATTTTACAGCCCTCTCCTCTGAAAGCCTTTGAACCCCTGCTTGAGACCTGGCATTAGGAGCCATGGAGCCCTCTAGTGGTCACCTGCCTGAGGTGTCCTGCGTGCAGAATGCCTGGGGTACAGCTTGACCTGGTACAGCCAGGCAGGGGAAGCAAGGCAGAGGCCAGTCCCCTTGTTCAGAGAGGAAGAAGGATGTCCCAACAGCAGTTAAAATGCAAAGCTTTGTCTTAAAAAAATCACAATAAACTAGGTACATAGAGACAATAATGGAGAATAATGGCACTTAATGATATAAACTTACAAATTGAAAATATTTTTGGCCTTGTAATGTTATTAGTACAATAAACAATAGTACCTAATATGGTATCTCTCTCTTTTTTTTGCACCAGGGATTGAACTCGGGTCCTTGCACTTGCAAGGCAGGCAGCCTAATACAGTGTCTTTATTGTAAAATTTTTAGGCTTTTGTGGAGATTGATTTGTTAGGTCATCAGAATTTGTACTTTTAGCAACTTGGCTGTCAGTATTGAAAATGACAGTACTTCTGGCAAATGCAAGTTGATACATTTTTGTGGTTTTACTTAGTAGAGGAGGATCTTCCTGCTGGTGCCATGTCCCAGTGGCTTTGTGGGCTGTGACAGCATTGTGATAAATGTCTGATAAATTTCAAAATATGAATTTAGTACTTTTAGATCAAATGATTCTTATAGAACAGTTTTTGTAAAAAGATTTAATTCCTTAAAATTTTTGTGTAAGTCTGAAATTAATTGTAGATATAAATTTTTTGTTTGTTTGTTTGTTTTGAGACACAGTCTCACTATATAATTGAGACTGACCCAGGACTCACTTTGTAGTCCAGGCTGGTCTCAAACTCACAGTGATCCTCCTGCCTCAGCCTCCCGAGTGCTGGGATTACAGGCATGTGCCACTGTGCCCGGCTGCTTATAGATATAAATTTATATGAAATTATTAATGTTTCCTTTGACATTTCCTGTAATTGTGGATATCTTACAAGAAACCGAAAGAGTCCTCATGAGTTGTAGAATTCAAAATACCTGTTTGTAGGGCTGGGGTGTAGCTCAGTGGCACCATGCCTGCCTTGCAAGTGCAAGGTCCTGAGTTCAATCCCCAGTACCAGAAGAAACAACAACAACAACAAAAAGTCCATCAAAATGCCTGTTTGTGCTGTCACTGCGTCGTCAGATACGGGAAACATTCATTTAGAAACAGTTTTCCTCATTAGCAATTCACTCCTCTGAATCTTCGCATGAAGGCTGTTCTCTGTTCTGTATAATAGTCTTTACATTCACACTCTCTGTACTTGTGAGTGTTTGCTTCGTGGTGTGGGCATGTGTGATGCCAGGCTCAGGCCTGAGCCCACCCGTGCTGACCGCTGCTCCCTGTCCGGTGCTCGTGCGCCACGTCACCCATGCCTCAGGCCGCACTTGAGTGCACAGGGGCGCAGATGCAGTGGGTAAGGGCTCAGCAGGACGGCCCTGGCCCTCGGGGGAGCAGGGCCGCTGTGGCTCCCCGCCAGAGGTCTGCGGAGGCCGCCCTCATCCCACTGTAGCCATCCGTGCCTTCTCCTGGAGGGTGCTGCCGGCGATGCCTCCCTTTCGGAAGGGATATGGGTAGGAAAATTAGGTTCTCATGCTTGAGACAAGAGTGAGTAGTAAAAACAGTGATCCTGGCCTTGAGAGAAAACTCACAATTACTAATTAGAAACATCCGTCGGGGAGTTGGGTGTGTGAGGAAGGGCAGCCAGTCGTTCACAGCCGCCCACCCGACACCTGTTGTGCCCGGCGGTGAGCTTTGGCGCCCGGTGGGCCTGTGCTGCTGGAGCGGGCGGCCTCGAGGCCACCCCAGGCGAGACTGTGGAGGCCCAGAGGAGTGGCGATGGCCCCCAGGAAGCCTGCCCGTGTCACTGCTTTTGTCTTGTGAATCTGAGGATTGAAGCCGGGGCTGACCAGAATTACTGAACTGAACAGACTGTGTGGTGCTCCTGATGACAGTTCTGTTGACGTTTCATTACATCTCCACAGTGTTCTTTGACAACACTGTTTCATGCGGTCCCGTGTCCTACAGAGGTTCAGCGTAAGTTCAGAGCTGACAAACACTTGAACTAACTGGTCTTCTTATCAGCCATGCATTGTTGAGATGTAATGAAATGTCAGTTTTCACTTTAATTATTGATGATATTTAAGTACTTATACTGTACGTAAATGCATACTTCTGTCAACAGAATTGTTTGATGTCTGTATAGGAAGGAGGTTGGGTGCGTAGTGTGGTCTTCCCGTGCCTGGAAGCCGGGCCGCTGAGCTGATGGCTTCAGTCCTTCCCCCGTGCTCCTGCTTCAGAGGACGCGCGCATCAGCTGGCGCAGTGCCAGTCAGGCCGCTCATGTCCAGCTCCCAAGCGACAGCCTTGTGGTCCTGACTCCAGCACAGGCACTGCCTCCAGTGTTAGCTGGCGGACCCGGGGACCCAAGGCGAGGAGCAGAAGTATCTGGGAGTGTCCTTAAATTTTTGCAGCACTTCGGACACCTTTATTGAGGGGTAATATTCAGAGATCTTGTGTGGTGTGATTTATCCCCAGCGGGTGCTTTAGGGCTCAGTAGAGGGAGTGGGAGTACCTTATAGCGTGCAGGTTTAGCAGGATTTCAGCAGGTGGCGCTGTCGTGTGTTAAAACTGATGGTGGAGCTGACCTCGTGGGTGGAAGTGAGGAGCTCAGCGTTTCCATGAGTTGATGTGAAAGACCAGGTTGGCCTAAAATGAGTGAACCGATACGGTCATTTTACTTCTGGAAAAGGAGAAATAGGAGATGTCAAAGAGGAAAGGATTTACCAGCAAGTCTTTTGATAGTTCAGAATTTTTTCTTTAAAAAAAAAAGTGCAAGAAAATGAGGTTTTAAACATAGGAACTCTGAAGGAGAGTGAGGCGTTGACTGAAATGACGTGGGTCCTAGAGATTCTCATGAGTGTGTTCTGGAGATCACACTGGGTTTTCACACGGCAGCAGGTGCTGGTTGTGAGGCCCAGCATGCAGGAGGCCCTGCAGGTCGTGTGCATTGAGGGCCTCCCCAGCACATCGCCTGGTCTACCTGCTGAGCCTGTGAGCTTTCCAGGGAGACAGCAGCATGCACCCCTGAGGTCTCCTTTCTTTTAAAAACAGCTTTCTGAAGTGTAAATTTTTTTTTGGTACCTGGGATCGAACTCAGGGCTTTGTGTTTGTGAGGCAGGCGCGGTATCATTGAGCTATATCCCTGCCCCTTAAATGTAATATTTTTGGTGTATGCGTGTTTAATAAAATCAAGGTACATTGGAAATCACATAGTCTGTGGGTGGAGTACTAAATAAGAAGACCAAGGGTAGGCAGCAACTGCCTCAAATTCTACCCAGCGGAAGTAATTCCTAAATCACAATTTGTAGAAAAGGAAACCAAGGCCAGATGTGGTGCCCACCTGTAATCCCCACACCTCAGGAGGCTGGGGCAGGAAGACTGCAGTTCAAGTCCAGCTTGGGCAAGCGAGACTGTGTCTCAAAATCATCATCAGGCTGGGGGAGTACGCCTCATCACTTCTGGGGTTCAGTCCCAGTAATGCAGAAACAGAGAACCCAGAGGAAGCAGCACCCTCGCATGTTTGGTAGACACGAGGCTAACTGGTAGGGCCAGTAGGGAGAGAAGAGGCTTTGCCTACCACCTGTGTGCCCAGCCAGGCACTTTCATTTGCAGTGTGTTGTGTTCTTTGTGTTGCTGTTTTTGTAGAACAAAATAAATCATTTCTTTCATTTTCACCCATGCTGTTGTTAGGCATGTTGTGGTGAGGCTGGCTTTTTACAATGGTAAAAGAGACAAGGTTAGGCCATAATCCGTGAAGACTGCCCCTTGTGACAGATTGATGTGTACTCACAGTTTATTGACCTTGTGGCTTTCCTGTCACAGAAGCAGAGTCTCTCAAAGAATCTTACATTTCTTGAGCATTTGACCATAAAAGAAAGATAAGGCTTTCTACTTGTGGGATTTTTCTAGAGAGCTCAGTTGACTACTTTGCTTAATCTGAGTATTTAGAGGAGAAATTTCATCTGATGGTTTGAAGAGTCTGGGAAAGTGTACCAGTAAAACATTCCAACATGCATCTGTGTTGAGCAGAACACAGTCTAGGAACTTTCCTCCTGTGGCTTTCTTCTCTGTTGGTATCTGTCAACTGAAACAACAGGGCTGTGTTTTGAGTGAACAGATCTTTCACACCCCTTCTAACTACCACCGGTCTAACATAAAGTGATCCGGGAGAAAAGGACGAGGGCCCAACATGATGACATTTAAATTACTTTTGGTTTTCACTTGAGTTTGTTTTCATGTTAAGATAATAATGTGTCGGTTTCAGGACAGGGAGTCAGAAGAACGTGGGAGAGAGGTGGATAAACGCATGGCCGTTTACCTCGAGGGCGACTCACTGGCTCACAGGAACTCCTCAGACTTACTTTCCTCCAGGTCAACGGATGAGACGTTCAGCTTGGCAGAGGAGACCTGCAGTTCTAATCCGGCCATGGTTAGGAGGAAGAAGATCGCCATAAGCATCATCTTTACCCTCTGTGAGAAAGAAGAAGCCCAGCGGGATTTCCAGGACTTCTTTTTTTCTCATTTTCCTCTGTTTGAATCTCACATGAACAGGCTGAAGAGTGCGATTGAAAAGGTAATCAGATTATCATCCAGTGTCAGCAGGGACGTGGCTGGGGCTTTGAAGCTGGTGGAACCCTTGTGTGGGTGCCAGGTCCCTTGCAGTGACAGCTATGGGCCCTTGGGAATGCTGTGCTGGACACTGCACGATGGTGGCTTTGGGAGAGGACGTTGCTCCCTTCTGATAACTGCTTTCAGTTCTTTGCGTTTTTGCTGATGGGGCCTGTAGGCAGGTTGTAATGGAGGGGCTGTTCAGTAAGTGACGCGTGCTTTCCTTTCCACACAGGCCATGATCTCCTGTAGGAAGATAGCAGAATCCAGTCTCCGCGTCCAGGCCTATGTCAGCCGCCTGATGGAAGCCCTGGGAGAATTCAGGTACAGTTCAGAGTTTGGCAAGTTCAGTGGGCCTTCATGAGCAGCAGTAGGGATGACAGAGCGCCTAGGCGGGGCCTGAGGAGCCAGTGGAATGGTTAGGCACCACAGCTCCCAGAACATCAGATCCCCTGTGTGATGCTTAGGGTGCGTGCTGGTGAGCCGAACAAGGCTGGGCCGGATGTGGGGCACTCAGGTAATGTGTTAGGCCGTGTGTAGTGACGGAGGCCTCAGCCATGCATGAGGGATGTGCGACACTGCTTTGTGACGGGCATGCTGCTGTGGCTCACATGAGCAGCACTGGACTGGCCTGTGGCTCTGCTGTGGTCAGACTCAAAGCCCACAGTAGTTTAATGAAAGTAATAGTGTTTCAGCAGGCCAGGAACTGAAAGTACAGAACTAGGAAGCTTTGCCGTGTGTGCATACAGGACAGCGTGGTGTTAGACACCTCAGGGTCCAGCGGTGAGGATCGCAGTGCCATGTAACTGTAGCTTGTCCTTGTTCCCTAACTTAACAAATACTGTATTATTATTATTTATTTATTTATTTATTTTTGCCAAGGTGGAATTCTGTTGTATCCCAATCCTTTCTGGCTCACAGTTAGAAAATCTCCATTTATCTTGATTGGTGAAGAGTGAATGTGTCATAAATTCAGAGATGCAGGCACTGTGCTTCTGAGCAACATGCCCACCCTGACACATTGGCTTTTACTCCGTGGGATCCTGAGTATGCCAGTGTGCTCTCTGGGAGACACTCGAGTCCCATGACTAGGAGTCGGTCCCTGTGTGCCAGGCACGAGAGCTGACTTGTTATCCTGACCTTGCCGTCGTCTCATGCGAGCAGCCCAGTGTCTCTAGGAAGTCAGCTTACAGTGCAGGGGCGAGTGTAGGAGAACCTGGGCTCAGGTGCCGAGCAGCGACTGAAGGGTGCGCTGTCCCTGGTCCGCAGTGCAGTGAAGGACGGCTGTTCGGCTGTTCGTTTAGGTTTCTTTCCCTCTGAATTGAATGGGGTGCTTAGCTTACGGAACCAAAGTATTAGCCAGAAATCGAGACAGTTGGGTTGCCTCTGGCTGTTTTCCACTCAGCATGCACTGTCTTTCTTTCTGTATTTCCTTACTGTAAAAATGGTGTGTGATGCTGCACAGATACATACAATTTTTATGTTTTATGAATAGCTTTAAAGAGGGCCAGGGATTTAGCTCAGTGGTTCCACCGCCTGCCTTGCAAGTGCAAGGACCCGAGTTCGATCTCCGGTACAAAAAAATAAAAAATAGCTTTAAAGAGTAAATTAAAGCCACGTATGTTGGCACACACCTGTAATCTTGACAGTCTGGGAGGCTGAGGCAGGAAGATCACAAGTTTGGTCCAGCCTGGGCAGTTTAGCAACTTAGCAAGACCCTAAAATTGAAGAGCTGAGAGTACAGCTCAGTATAAAAATCCTGGGCTCGATCCCTAGTACTGTAAAAATAAAAATAAAATAAAATGACAAATTTAAACCATTTAAAAGAGTAAGTTTGTGTAAGTGGTTTTTAAATGGTTGTAGATTCTGACAGAGGGCATTGCGAAAATACATTCTTCTCTACATTATTAGGTTTTATTTTTTGTATTGGGGATCGAACTTTGGTCCTTGTGCTTTCGAGGCTGGTGGCAGCACCGAGCTACATCCCTGGCCCTTTACATTTATATTTGTGCCTGCCTTGGTGTGGCACACCTTTTCTGTAAGGATGTCTGTCAGAACTACTACCTTTGTCATTGTTCTACAAAAGCAGGCACAGACAGTGTGAGTGAGCACGCTCGTGCCCCAGGAAAACGCTCAGCTCTCTAGTCGGTGTCAGCTGGATTGGGCCTGTGGCCACGGTTGACCAGCCTGTGCTGTGTAGACTGCCCGAATCCCCTCAGGACGTGGAGTGCGCATCAGTCTCCTGCATCCTGCTGTGCTGGAGTTGTCCAGGCTGTATTTGTGACCGCGTTGTGGATCCCTCCTCTCCCCTCTCTTCACAGGGGGACCATCTGGAATTTATATTCAGTTCCAAGGGTAGCTGACCCAGTGTGGCTCACCATGATGGCCAGCACTTCGGAAAGATCGCAGCTCTGCCACCGCTTTCTCAAGGAGTTTACTCTTCTGATAGAACACATCAACAAAAACCAGTAAGCCCGACTCCGCGGAGATGCACGCACACCCTTGCCCGTCCTCCGTGACTGATGTGGCCCTGTTTTCTCCTGTTCTCCAAGGTTTCTTGCTGCTTTGCTGACTGCAGTGCTGACCTACCACCTGGCCTGGGTGCCGACTGTCATGCCCGTCGACCACCCCCCCGTCAGAGCCTTCTCCGAGAAGCGCACCTCACAGTCAGTGAACACGCTGGCCAAGACACATCCCTACAACCCTCTCTGGGCACAGCTGGGTCAGTAGCTTATCCGACAGTGGAGTGGATGGAAAGGGTGAAGCGAAGCGGGGCACAGCTAGGATGTGTGGCTTATAGCGCTGCCCACCCAGTAGCTCAGGGATTGTCAGAGGCCGGTAGGACCCTCTGTCCAAAGTATTGACACTCAGAGATGTCTGCAGATGTTGTCGATGTTCCTGGGGAGGGGAGAAGGCACCACAGCAGACCTCGGTTGAGAAGCCCTACCCTGGAGCAGGGCTCGAATGGGCACAAACAGGTGGAAGTCAGAAGTCTTGTCTTCCTCTGCACTGCGAATTAGTGGCGGTGCGCATTTTCTCCACCTCTACTTGGGCACGAGTCAGAATCAGCACTTCGGTGTGGTGCTGGCTGTCGAGGTTGTGGCTTGTGAAACTGGCTTGCTCCTCAGTTTATGTAGACGAGAGGTGTGCACTGGGTCTCACGGGTGCAGTGGGTCTGCGGTCTCTTGACTTCAGATCCCTGGCTGCTGCTTCGATGGGGTGTGCAGAGGTGCAGGAGGGGAGGGTTGGGTGCAGGTGGAGCAGCTATTCCCCTCCCGTGGTCCCGAGGGCTGACCCGCAGTCCTCACAGGTGCTGGACAGCGCTGCACACCAGGCCCTTCCCTCCCTGTACCCATCAGACGAGGTGGAGATGGCCCTCGCTGCGAAGCTGCCATGTGAGGCGCTGCAGCACAGATGTTCCGGTGTGAGCCCCTGGAGGCAGCAGGAGTCCAGGGCGTTTCCTAAGGAAGGCTCATCAGGGAAATGGTGAGGTGGCAACTTCCACAAAAGTACAGATGGCAGTTTTTAATAGCAGTAACAAAATCTGACACTTTGAGCCAAGCAAGTGCAAAGTGCTCTTTGCAAATCCAATTAATAAAATTCTCACACCTGTTACTGTTGTCCTTACCTTGTGACAGTAAAGGCAGCCTCTGTCCTTAGGTCCTTTGTCACGAGAGGTGTAAGAAAGAGCATGCGAGTCCCCTGGTGTGAGGCTGATGTGTTTTAGTGAGCTAACTAAGCCGTTTCTGGATATAAGGCCATTTTAGTGGAAATCATTTCCTCTGAAGTGCTGGGGATTGAACTCGGGGCCTTGCACTTGCCGAGCAAACGCTTAACCATAGTGACATCCCCAGCCCAGTGACACCATTTTAATGGGGCCTTCTTCGCCCCTTAGTGCAGGATGCAGGTCAGCACCGGGCGCAGGAAGAGCTCCAGAAACATGCCCTCTCTTTCCCGGGAGGGAGAGTGGAGCACTGTCCCTCTGAAATGTAGTGGTGTTTTCTTTTCTGGGTCTAGCGAAGTTGCTTAGGCTGCCCTCAAAATGATCACCCATGTGCCTCAGCCTCCATGCAGCTGGGATGACAGGCATGTGCCATCGTGACCTGCTAAACTGCAGAATTATTGGAGAGAAGGGGTCTGGGTGCTGAGGGGTAGCACTGGGCCACTGATTTAAAAACAGCGCTAGTGGAGCAGTGCATCGAATCAGCCGGATGCACTTATGATTAGGCGTGCTTCTCACGTGAAGTCTGACTACTCGGGAGCCTCCTGGTTCCCGTCAGTCCTTTCCCTGGGGCACGCATGACTGGGGGGCCCGAGCAGAGCGGGAGAAGGAACGAGGCGCTGCCCAGAGCAGGTTGGCGCCGACCCAGGAAACCGGGTGTGCGGGAGCTCCATGTTTGGACAGGATACTGGCTTCCTTTGTTCTTCACTGGGCCTGACAAAGCACGGTAAACAAGAAGTGGTGTGCTTCTGGGAGTACAGCACTGATGCTGGAGTACTTGTAGTCCAGTTTCCAAAGTCATAGAACGCTTCCATTTTGAATCATTGCAATGACCTGTCTGGGAGGTGCTGTGCCCAGGAGTGGGGAGAGAAGCCATAGCAGCACCCTGGGGCACGTCCCACCACAGGTGCGGGAGCAGGCGGTGTGGGTGCTGCCGCCCCACCCTGGTGGGCCTCCTTGTGAAGTTGCTTTGCCTGAGCCCCCAGAGGGCCCTGCAGACCTGAAGGGAAGTGGCTTTTCTCTTCCATAGAGGCTGGGACGACCGACTTAAATAAGTAGAAGGAAAAATAAGTCTGAAATTTCTTAATTTTTTCCCCCAAATTTAAATTGCATTCTTTTCAGGATGCAGTGAGACTAAATCAGTTAAAAGGAAAAAACAAAAACAAAAAACTCACTGTAACTACATTTAAATAACCCCCAAGCCAGGTTTTACAAGAGAAACTAGAAAACATTCTGAACTAGTGATCATAGGGGCGAAGTAGGTCAGGGCGAGCAGGGTGTGTAGCGAACAGCACACCTCCCAGTGTACTGCTTGGTAGTGTGGTGTTGGTTCATACTGTTGTGCAGCCTCTTTTTCATTTTTAAAAAGTCTGCTCTTGGAGACAAGGCGCCTGCTCGAAGATAAGCAGCTTCATTAGCCCAGGACTCAAAAAATTGCCTTCAAGTGCAGGATCCAGTAAACCTTTAATATTACGGGTCTGTTAATTTTAATGATGTATTATTTATGAAATTTGTAAAGTAATATTATTTCCACACACATTGTTCTCATTGCTTTATACAGTTTATTATAAATTTTAACCTTATTTTGTGTTTTCCTTATTCCTCACTTATTAAAATATGTAACACTAAAAATTAGATACATTGCTAAAAGATAATGTTGCCATTCTCAGGGGCCTTTTCCTTGTTGGTTGTTATACCAGACTGGATGTTTAGCTTGTTTCTTTATTGAGGGATTTCATAAAAAGGTCCCAGACATTTCTGAAACGACTGGGATACCCTGCAGCAATGAGTGGATATAAAAAGGAACAGAATCAACTCTTGGTCGAGAACGTTTTCTCAGAAGCTTGCCCTGCATGGCTACAGTCCTGAGTTACTCCTTAAGCTATGGGACACTTTCCCTGCCAGTTGAAGTGGCTCAGGTTGCACTTGGGGCAGGCTCTGGTCTGGCCTTGTGCAGGGAGGGTGCTGACAGTCCTGTCCTGCCCTGGGGCTCTCAGAAGAGGTGCAGCTTGCTGCTTCTCAGCCTTCATCTCTTGACCTGCTAAGTTACCATGTTATCACCTCTCTTTTTTAGGGACCTTTTCAGATTTTATTTCTCCCAGCATTCTGGTTATTTCTAATGGTTTCTGAGCCCAGGTTATATGGAGATGCAAGATAAATCTTCAACTCTGCACAGGGCCTTCCCAGACAGTAAATGCTGGCTCCTCGCTGTAATTGTCCACATCAGCATCAAAGTGCCAAGCATGTGTCTTGGTAGTCATAGTGCTCCTTGGGGCTGGGGATTTAGCTTAGTGGTGCTGCCGCCTGCCTTGCAAGTGGAAGGACCCAAGTTCGACCCTGGCACCAAAGAAAAACATAAAACAAAACAAAAACAAGTGCTCCTCCAGTTGTGACAAGCAGCGGGGAAGAGCTGGGCTTGCTGGGTGGATCAGCAGCACGCTTCCCTTGGTCCCCTGCCTGCACATAAAACACAGAGCCCCCTGGTTCCCAGGCCCGTCTGCAGCCAACCCGTCAGGTTATAGCTTACTTAGAAGGACATTTCCCCGTGGAGTTTTCATGTGAAATAGAAGCTCTCAGATTCATTATTCATGACTGAGTGATCTTTATTCTTCTTAGTGAACTGCTGCTGCTTAGGTTGTGTCTGTCTATTGAACGACCCCAAAGCAGACCACCTTACTAAGTATTTTGAACTGATTCTCTGCACATCTGTTTTGAAACCCTTGAATTTGGATTTCACCCTACGGCCCATTGTCCTGGGATTTCCCAGCGGGTTCTGGTCTCCAAGATGTGGCATGATCTGCGGCCTGTCCAGAGACCTCCTCGGGCCAGTGTACTGGGCTCACCCTCGGCCGCCCCCCTCCACACGACTCCCCGCACCAGGGCCCAGCGGTGGGCTTCTCCTGGCCTTTGGGCTCTGTGGGAGGGACTCTGGCTAGGAGGCCTCGAGGAGAGGCTGCCGTGTCTGTGTGCACTGACCCAGGCCTGCTCTTGTGTCTGCCTGTGCTCTCCAGGTGACCTGTATGGAGCCCTAGGCTCCCCGGTGAGACTGACACGCACTGTGGTGGTGGGGAAGCAGAAGGACTTGGTCCAGCGCATTCTGTACGTCCTGACCTACTTCCTGCGCTGCTCCGAGCTGCAGGACAACCAGCTGACCTGGGATGGGCATCCCGCGGAAGGTGACCGGGTGGTCAGTGGCAGCAAGATCGTGACGGCCTTGGAGAAAGGAGAGGTGGAGGAGTCCGAGTACGTGGTGGTGACAGTGAGAAATGAGCCTGCCCTCGTGCCCCCTGTCCTACCGCCTGTGCCGGCAGAGAGAAGGGGTCCTGGTACCACAGGATCAGCTGGGGCCCCGCATGGAGGTGTCAGACCCATCTGCGAAGGAAGCCGGAGGCAGCTGCAGAGCTCTACAGCTGGCAGCAGGGGGCTCCCAGGGCCAGCGCTAGACGGAGCGTACTGTGGGGCTGGAGACGGTGAGAAAGCAGCACCCCCAGCCGGCTCCTCAGCACCTGCCTGCTGTGAGGGTCCAGGGGCATGGGTGGAAACTGGCCCCCAGACTGTCCAGGAGATGGATGAGGAGGTGCCGCGGAAACTGCCAGCGTGGTCCTCAGCCTGGCCGTGCCCCGACAGACGGTCCCAGGAGGAGCCTCCAGCAGAAAAAGTCACTTTCCACATCGGAAGCTCTGCGTCTCCAGAGTCTGACTCTGAAAGCCATACCAGAAAAATGGATGAGAGGCTGAAGGGCTGCAGATGGCACCCGGACGCCAGGGCAGCCACCAGTGTGGCTTGGGACAGGCAGGCCTCTGGCTGTTCCTGTAGGGCTGCCTTGCACAGGGGCGTGGGCTGTCCACAGACCCAGCCCCCTGACCCGGGGGATGGTGAGCCCTGCAGGGGCGGTGCTGAGGACAGTGGCATTGGGACAGACACTGCAATGACAGGAGCTGCTGCCGGGCAGCTCCACCATGCTGGTAGCCTGCGAACGCCTCCCAGCCGTGCCTCAGGCACTGGGAGAACACCTGAGAAAACCAGAGCTTTGCACTTGAAAACCGCAGAAGGACCTCCGCAGGTGGCTGCCCTGGACCAGTGTGTGCTGCAGGGCTCCGGCCTCCCAGCGGCTGCCGATGCCCCCTCTAGGGGTGCCAGTGGGAAGGCCGGCTTCAGGGTTGAAGGAGACATTCCCAGGAACGAGAGCTCCGACAGTGCTCTTGGAGACAGTGACGATGAAGCGTGTGCTGCAGCCGCTCTGGGCCTGGGTCACAGTGGTGACAGGACTTCAGGGCCCTTCGAAGTGGAGCTGCCTCTGCCAAGGTAACACTGCCAGCCTGGCACCGCGGTCTCATTACTGCTGTGGGTGCTGCACTGAGTGCGCCCCTCTCAGTGCTACCAGTGTCCCTGATCCGTGTAGGTGGGTCCCACTGCCCCCTCCCGGGATGCTTCCTGGCCCAGTGTGGCTGAGCTCTGCAGGTCGTGGCTTGTCTCTGCCTGCTGTGTCGCTGTGGAGAGCTGTGGTGGCTGGGCCGGAGTGAGTTTCTGCCCTCTGAGGAGGTTCGGTGCCGCAGCAGAGCCTGGCCTCCGAGCTGGCAGGTCTTGCTCTCTGTGGGACCTCATCCTTGGGCTCCATCAGCCCGGCCACGAGCGCTGTGCTGCCTGACGCAGTACTGAGAGGTTTCTTCTGCTCTCCCACTCTGCTGAGGGTGCCTTCTTCTGCACGGGCCCGGCTCCTAGGCGGGAGCCCCTTCCAGTCTTCTTCCCTGACTCTGACAGCCTGGAGGGTGTTCAGTATGAGGTACCAGAGCAGACTAACCGGCCATGGAGATGGTTTTCTCCTGGGGCTTCTGTGTTCTAAACACTCCCTTTTCTTTCTTAGCCTCCTCTTTTTCTCACCAGTAATCTTGCTGGAGGACCAGTGATGTGGACCCCTCAGTCTGTCTTCTTTACATGTGTCACTAGGATTTGTGTTCCAACTGTGATGCTCCTGAAGAGGTTTCTTTTAAGGGTACGTTTTAACGGGCCGGATGTTGTTTCAGGTCTCAGAGCATCAGCAGCCCGAATGTAAGGAACTTCGGCCGCTCGCTCCTGGCAGGCTACTGCCCTACCTACATGCCTGATCTGGTGCTTCACGGGACCAGCACGGACGAGAAGCTGCGACAGTGCCTACTGGCTGACCTGGCCCACACCGTGCATGTAAGTGAGCTCAGCTCAGACCCCAGGGTGCCGAAGTATGGACGGCACCCTGTGATGGGATTGTCCTAGGGGTGTGGGCCCCTGCCCCACCCCTGTCCTGACTGCTGACCCCTGTGCCTCTGTTGACCGCGCCCAGCTGGAAACCAGAGAGGAAGGTCACGGCTGATGCACACGCAGCCAGGGTCCAGAGAGGTCAGCCTTGTGGGCCTGGAACTGGATGGAGAGGGCAAAGAGAAGATCATGGTGGGGGTAGCCTGCAGGCAGTAAATAGCACAGATGGTGACAGTTTCGGCCAAAGAGACATGACATATGGTTTGCTTTCTGTTTGGTCCTTACAAGTTTCTAGAAGTAATTTATTTTAACTCATTTGTCATTAAGCTCACTTTGATGGCTCCGTGCGGATGACTGTGTAGGGATTAACAAGTCTCACTGGAAAATTGCCTGTGGCTGCCATGGAAGACTCTTGCTGTCCTCAGTGTGTCAGGAACTGAGCAGTTAAAGAAGCTTTGTCCATGTGATGGGCCTGCTTTTAACTGAGCTGCTATTGATGAAAAAATAACATGTTTTGTATTAGAAACGTATTATATCTTGTGCGACAGGGAGAGTCCCCATTGCACTAAGAAAATTGGAATTTGGCCTATTTCCTCAACCAAAAAAATTTTTTTTAAGATGGAGCAGAAGGCATTCATGTCTTTTTGCCTTGAACATGTCCTCTGTGAAGACTAAACACACATCCGACGCAGCCCAAGGAGGCTAGGGACATTCTGTGAACTGGGAGCGCACATCCTTGTGAGTGGCCAGGCTGGCGCCTGGGGTTGGGGACACCCGCTGGCATGTGCAGGGGCACCAGGGGTCCCACCCGCTGTTGGCCAGATGCAGCCACTCCTGGCTAGACCTGGGAGTCCCCTTCTGGTGGGGTCCCCGTCCATGACGGGGAGAACAGGTCTCCCGCACTTCCTCCGCTGCCACTGCGGGGCTGGGGATTAGAAGCCTCCTGGCCTTCTGCAGACCGGTGGAAGTTTCCCTCCTTCTCTGCTGTCAGCTTGGTCTGGGGAACTCGGGTTCCTCTCCTGGCTCCGAGGGGGCACAGTGACCTCATGCGAGCCTCACGTCCTGGCCACAGAGCCTTGGGGTGGGTGATTCGCCCAGAGGCCCTGCTTCTGTGAGCTCAGGACTGATGGCCCCCCATTGAACTTACCTGTGAAACCGCTCATGAAATGCTTTTCTATTTTTTGTAGGCTGGCAAGTTCCTGTATCTAAATATTAGGTTTTCATTGTGACCATCTGGCTCTTTAATTCTTAGATTTGAAAAAAACAAAACCATGTTACAGTACCCTTCTTTCTAAAACATTTCTGTATTTCATTTTCGCTTTTTTAAAAGAGTGTTTTCTTGCTGTAGTAGTTCTCGTTTCTTTAAACTGTGCAGTCAGCCTTAGAAACTGAAAGTTACTAAGCATAATAGCCTCTATTGTGTCACATTGTGGCTACATCCAGAGTGCAGCCATGCCTGGGTGTTAATAGGATATTGTGAAGGGTTTATAAAAGTATCTTCAGAAGTTCAATATATTCAGAATGTATCCAGTTAACATCAGTGGGTTTCTAATTTCACTTGACACATTCATTGTCATCATAATGAATTTTGCTTTTGAAGAAGTGTTTCGTGTAGACTGCCTCTCAGACTGGCACTCTGGTCTTTAGCGTTTTTTTTTTCTTTAAAGAAAAAGCCTTACTTTCAACTTTCATTTACAAATATTGTTGAGGAATCAATTAGTTTTTTAAAAACATGGTATTGAATTTACTACCCCATAAAGCATAGTGATTATTTAAATTCTTGAGACTGTTGCCAGCGAAGGAAGCAGAGATCCAAGAATAAGCACATGGCCAGAGTTAGAACTGAGAGGAATGCTTGCAGAGAGAGGACTGGAATAAATCGCTCTATCATTCCATGTTTTCAAAACCCATCTTTTGGACATAAATAATTTTCAGTGCTCATGCCAGACTTTATCAGGCTCTGGAATGCATAATTCTTTTTAGAGAAGGATTGTTAGTGACTGTTTGAAAGCAGTTGATTTAGGCTATTGATCTGTTTTGTAGAGCTCTGCTGCCTTGGATGTAAATGCTGCTTTTCATGGTGTGTACTTTCTAGCTGCATGGACTGGGTTGGAGTTTTTTCTCTGAGCTGGGGATTCCTTTCTAGAGCCCCTAGTGCTCTGACTTGCTCTTTGTACTTTTCTTATCCAGGCCTCCTGTGAAAGAAAGATACACCAACTTCCTATCATTTGTTTTCATTTTTTACTATTCTTTATATGTAAAGATTGAATTCTTTAAATATTTGAACATGTGTTCTTGTTTAGTCTATACACGACCTCTTTTCTGTTATTTGGACTCTTTCCCTGATTCCTAACATATAGGTTATACAGCTGCCTTAAATTAGTCTAAAGTAACATTGTTTCCTATTTTTCCTGCCATATCTAAATGTACATTCTCACTCTGTTTTCCTTTTGACTTTACTGCGAAGGAGGGGAGGGGATGGGGACATGGGGAGACTCACAGCCGTCAAGCCTCTGCCTGTGGCCCCAATGGCTTTGTCTGAGTCCTTTGCTTGTGAAGGCACCAGCTAGGTGCTGTGGGGGTTACAGACTTGTGTGGCAGAGTAGGGCAGAGAGCCACGGCACTGCAGCAGGGCTGGGTGTTGGGTTTGAGTCCTGTTACCACCCCTCAGTCACTGATAGTCCTGAATAAATTGGCTGGCATCTCTAATCCTGGAACGCATGCAGAGGAGTAGGTGAAATAGAATGCACTGGTTAGGAGCTGACTTCTGAAGGTTTGCCACGTGGTTCACTGTGTGGCTTTGTGGCCTGGCGGTTTGGCTCTATCACATGAACAGTGCTGGTGTTACAGGTTGAAGGTTCTGAGAGATAACTTACATGAGATGTTTAGCGTAGTGCCTGGCACATTACTAAATGCCCAACAGATGTGAGCTGGCAGTATCTGTGAGAGTGCTTTGTAAGTTATACAGCAGTATGACATGTTCTTGCCATGGAGAGCAAAATGACAGCCATTTGTAACGAGGTGAGAAAGCTCACCTGTATTCAGGTGTGTGTACGCTGCCTGCCTGGTGTCTGGTGGGCCGCCCGGGAGCCCCGCTGGAGATGCCCGGAGAGAGAGACTGGTTGCCTCGCTCAAGGCCAGAAACAGCCACTCTGCCTTTGCCTGAGGTGCGGGGAGGAGTAGCCGGCACGGCAGACGGCCGTGTAGCATTGTCAGAACCGAAGCTAGTGCCGCATCTGACATCTTCTGTTTGTTAAACCACGTTCCAGGGCTTCAGGCGTTTCACAGAACCATCTATAAAATGAAGTAACAGTTGGATATAGCAGCCTCTTCCACTTAAACTTAAGAGTAACAACAGATTGACTCCAGAAATATCATGCGGGAGTCAGTAGCAAGATAAGGAGCCTTGCTAAAAATCTGGCTGTGATATACGCTCACGAATACCTAATTAATCTGTTCAGGGTAATCAGCCAGTAAGACTACAAAAGAACAGCAAGTCCTATCCAAGAGCAAATCATTACGTACGTAACACAGATGACACTGGATGTGCTGAGCAGCAGTGACCCTGAAGCCAGCCGGTTGTGGAGGCGTGGCCATGGGACCGTCTGCAGTGGGAACCACATGACTCCGGCGCCCGGGCCGCAGCCCTGCCTGGTGCAGCACCGCCTGTGGTGGAGAGTTGCCTGTGGAGCTTCCTGAAGTATGTGGTCTGACCTGAAGCTGGGTTCTGATGACCGGTTTATAAAAATGATACAGAATAGAACTGGACTCCCCACGGCTGACGGGGGTCGTGGTGGACTGGGGACTGTGTCTGCACACGTTCACACCTGGACGCTTGCATGCCGAGTTGGGTGTCCCTTCCTCCCACCAGGGCTGCGGGACTTGGAAGCAGAGCACGGAGACTCACAGGACCTGCCTGGGAAGTGCTGGCCATAGCAGGTGTTGGGGTGTGTGTGCAGGTGCGCAGGGCAGCATCACCTTCCTGCTGAAGAGAAGTGGCAGGTGGCTTCCTTTGTGTGTTTTGTTTTAAACAGGAGAGAGTAATGCATGTACACACGATGCTTGTGGCTCTTTGTGTTCATTTGCGTTACCTGAAGGAGAATAAGAGCTTATTTTAGGTCTTTCATACTTTGTCTTTTGCACTGTGTCAGAATTAGACACATGCCTAATTTTGATGTTTTTTCCAATGTTGATGTTCTACCCAATTTTTCACCATCTGCAAGATATTTGTGCATCTGTGCCCTTCTTTACAAAAAGCTGCCCGCTGTCTCTCATTTTATTTTGAGGTCACGTAAGTCCTCGTGTAACTCTGTTCCATGACCCTTTTTGCCCCTGAGCATCTTTCTGCATCTTCAAACTGCAGCTGAATACAGCCTACCAGTTTGGCTACTCCCAAGCATATAGACCTTTGAGGCGCACAGGCCAGTGACCCCGCCAAGGGCCCAGGACGCCAGCTGGTGCCTCCCTGACATTGCGCCACCCCTTTCCCTGCACCCCAGGCCTTCCCAGCGTCCTATGCCCGACGAGCAGCCTCCCTAGTCCACAAGGCGTTATTTCCCTCTCCTTCTTTAGGCTTCAGTGACTCACCCTGCACCTGTCTGCAAGAGAAAACAGTTTGGAGAACAAATGCTGGTGGACACAGGGTGCAGTCGTATAATAATACCCCTACTGTGAACCAGTTTGACGACCTAGAACTCCCCAGTGGTGGCAGCTTAGCTGTCCTGGCTGGCTCATTTTATCAGTAGTGGGGCATGGAGGCAAAGGATGGCTTTTGGAGGCAAGGGAGTGAGTCACAATTGGAAATTTATTTGCTGAAAAACACGTAATGGTGTTCTGGACTCTATGTACTCCGTCGAGGTCTGAGGTGGAGGGGCCAGCAGCTCGCTGTGTAAAAGGTATGTGGATGGCACGCCTCCCCTCCAGCCCTGCCCACCGTCAGGGTGCTGTAC